GTTTTGAGTCCACGACTTTGAGAGTTGTATTGGAGATAATCAGGAGAAACATCTGATTAAGGATTAACGGCACGTAGCAACCTAGTGATGTGCATTCTCAAAAATCTGAAGAATGGTGTGTAGACCTGTTGTGGATCTGAAGGGGTCTGGCAAATCAGCGATCTCATTCTGCAGTCTCTGAACCACATTCCCTGGATCCAAGAGAACACATATATATGTACCCTACCTTATTTCAGTAACCATATCAAGAAGAAGAAGAAGAAGAAGAAGAAAGAAGAAGAAGAAGAAAGAGAGGATAATGAGCTCACCAATTCCCTCGGTGCCTCCCCAGTCTCCACTGAACCCTCTCCTACCCTCCCCCTCACAGGTGCCCAGTCTCACGTAGGACACCTGGTACCACAGTATCATAACCAGTGGGCTCACCAGACTCTGCAGACAAGGAGAGAGGCACTTCATATTCCATTCCCCATGCTTCATAAATCTATAAATCCATACTCTAACATCTCATACTCCAATTCTCTATACCTCATACATCCATTGCTCTGTATGCCATTCTGCTTACCAAATGCTACATAAATCCAGACTACAATTATTTTCATACTCTCACCCCGTTCTCCATATTTTTCTATACTCTATACTCCATTACCCAGACCCCCATGCCCCATCTTACCAGAATGGTCTTGAGACGTGTCACTCTATCTTCCAGTGCTCCCTCTGAGAACATGGTCAGTATCTGTAGTGGTGGTGCATGGGTGGTCAGGTTCCGGAACCAGGAATGGGAGTATGGGGAATGGGAATCTTACCTCGGTGGTATGGGGAATGTACCACAGGTTTCTGATTCTGGATCCATCCTTTGTCAGGAGGAGGGGAGGCCGGGAGAGAGCTGACCTGGCAAGAAACAAACAAACGATAAACAAACAATCAATAAACAATCAATAAACAGTAAACAAAAACAGTACACAAATTGCAAGTGTGTTTACCGAGGATCTTTGACGAGAGGAGGAACAGATTTTGGAGTGGTTGAAACTTGACCAACTGTGAAGTAGCCATCTCTACAATGGCAACCAAAACACACCGCCCATGCACTCTGAATGTTGTCTGTTTACTTTTGCTAACTGAAAGAATTTCCACATGCATGAGAGGGAGGGAGAGAAAGAAAGAAAGAGAGGGGGTGTCAACCTGGTTGCAGGGAAGGTGTGGAGAAGGCAGGTGAGACTCTGGTACAGCTGAAGGATCTGGAGCCTCAGTGAATATTGTGACATCACCTTCACCAAGTTGACACAGAATTCTTCCACCGCACCACTGCAATATAGCAACAGATGTAGAGAATAATATTGTGATGTAAAGGTCTTGCCGGATGAGAGTTTCGCAACTCAAGTTCATAGAAACAATGGACAGCTTTAAAGTGGGTGTAGGTAGGTAGTATTATTTTCCCGATGTGCCAATATGTTTCAAGATAGTAAGGAAAAGGTAATGTTGTATGGATGGTTGTGTTGGAGAAGGGAGACGATTTTATTTCTCACAGACCACTTTGCAGTCTCCATGCCATTCCGCGTCTTCCCAGTGGAATGGAATCGGGACGCCAGCATGTGATCCCGCACGGCCGACTGTTGGAATGGAACGGAACCACGTGAACACATGCGGAAAACCTTATCATTTCCCCAACCTTCTCTAGTTGGACTGAAATGAATGCCTTCTGCAGTGCCTTCTTTACGCTCAGCACTTTCCCCATTTCCGAGGCAGTTGTAATCATACCCACTGACAGAGGGGGTTCGGATGATTTCCTCGTCACCGAACCCCCACCTCCTCCAATATTGGGTCCCCCAGTGGCCCCCTCTAGGGACCGGAGAGTGGAGAAGTTCATTAGAGATGAGATAGCTAGACACCACTTGTGAGCCACTTGGCATTTGAGAGCTGTCTGCAGCTTTAGGAGACCAGTCGGACTCTTTAGTAGCTGTGAGGGAGAATGGAGGTGAGAGGAATCACAGAGGGAAGGGAGGTTTGCATAGTTATAGTTACTGCTTTTAAACTGCACTGCACACTCCAGCTATAGTCAAGGCATTCAGGATGGTTGGTTGGCCTGTCCTTCCCTCCACTTGCTCGCTAAAAGTACAAATATTTTAGGCCACCCTATTCTTTCACTGCACACTCCAGCTATAGTCAACGCATTCAGGATGGTTGGTTGGC